ACACACACACACACACACACACACACACACACACACACACACACACAGATCTGACCCAATACTCCAGGTAGACCTGTTGCCTGTTCTTCCACAAGGCGGCTTCAGCCAGACAATTCCAACTGTATACACAGGGACCCCACAACAGGCTCGGCTATTCCTACCATTCCTCAGCCTCTGTAAACTGTGCCAGGCTGGTCAACATCATACTTGGCTCAAATCTATTTGGCGAAAGTACTACACTGGTGGCCAACTGGATTAACTTTTCTGCTTTAGAGGAGCCTCGTCAAAATTGTCAGCCCGATCTGTGACTTTAGCAGCTCGAATTAAGACAAGATGGGAAGGAGATCATTCGGAGACGGTGGAGCCACGCACCACAGTCTGGCAAAAGCCATGCTAACAGCCTGAACAGATTTCTTCACCTGACCATCCCCTGCCTCATGGCAAAATCTGGACTTCCAGAAAGCAATGCAGCCTTCAGAGGCGCACATGGCCACACATCTTGTCCGTTGCTGTCACCCATTTCCAAAAAAAAACCCAACACTGTCCGCCCCACCAACCCCACACCCCCCCCGCCAAAAAACCCTCTCTTCCCTCCCCTCCCACAGAGAGTCATCACAAACAGAATACATCATGCTCAAGTCTGGAGGCAACCTGAATAATACAGTTTTAGCCCAGGCACTTAGGTGACGCTGATTTTCCAGGATATATATTCTTTAACAATGTGTATATAACGGTTTATAATAAATGGTAGCCACTGTGTAGCAGAATACCTACTTTATAATCCAGCCATGCAAGGTGACAACATGGATATCAGAATATGTGCATGTGTCAAAATCCAATTCTATCCCAATTCTCGCTTGTCTACCAATGGCTTCACCCCGATTGCAGTTCAAAATCTCTTCACCTTATCTCATGCTTAAGGTTCTTGTATTGATGCACATTAACAAAAAGTATGTGGTATATATATAAATGGATAGGCTTTCAGTGTGTATGGACTTTTTGGCCTGATGGTCTGGATGTACTCCCTTCCGATGTGAGGCCATTTTCTCCCCCGTCTGCCTGAAACCCTGAAACCTCCGCCTTGCTCTCTCTCCCTCTGAGAGTTTAGCTACAGGTCGTCGCTCTCCACGAGGTCGGACTGAGGGCCAAGGTGGATGGGGTTCGCCTCAGGCAGGAATGCCGACTTAATATCGAGCCCTTGGTCGGTGAGCGCTGCGTAGCGGCTAGCGGAAGGCCGCACCTTCTTTGGTTTGGAGCTGGGAGTCTGGTGCCACTGAGGGGCTGCGGGTTAAAAATAAAGGAAAAGAAGGACGTCAGAAAATAAACAAAAAAATGTCTCTCCCTGTCTTCCTTAGAGTGCCCTGGGACTCCTTGAGGTCATGAGAGGTGCTTTGTAAATCCTTTATTCATCCTCTATTCGTTAACAGGTTGAGGGCATCACTGGCCACCAGCATTTATTGTCCATCCCTAATTGCCCAGAGGGCTGTTCAGGGTCAACCACATTGCTGTGGGTCTGGAGTCACATGTAGGCCAGACCATGTAAGGATGGCAGTTTCCTTCCCTAAAGGACATTAGTGAACCAGGTGGGTTTTTCCAACAATCAGTTCATGGTCATCACTAGGTTCTTAATTCCAGATATTTTATTGGATTCAAATTCCACCATCTACCATGGCGGGATTCGAACTTGGATCCCCCAGAATGTTATCTGGGTCACTGGATTAACAGTCTAGTGATAGTACCACTAGGCCATCGCCTAACCTTTCCTTGCTGAGGGGAGATATTGCCATATTTCCAAAGGCTGCTCTCTCATTATACAGACTGAGGTGACCTCTGTCGTTACAGCATTCAAACCCCACACCAACAGCGTCTCTCTGCATTGCAATCCAGCTGACTAGTTACCTGGCCTGCCTATATTGTGAAAGAGTGAGTTCTGTCAGGTTAGATCATTGGCTGGAATAGTATTTGACCTTTGCTCTTTCATTGGATGTGGATTACCCATCAGTAATTGTCTGTTGGACTGAGGCATTTCAGAGTCAACCACATTGCTGTGGGTCTGGAGTCACAAATAGGGATGGCAGATTTCCTTCCTGGTGAACTAGATAGGTATTAGTTTTACGGTCACCATTTAGCTGTCAATCCTAGATTATTTAATTGACATGAAATCCCAGCAGCTGCGGTGGTGGTGGTGATGGGATTTGAAGTCATGTTCACGGGACTTTGGCTCAGTGGCTCTGCGATGCTCTGTAGCATCACCACGACACTAACACTGAGCTTCTCCCTAAATTGTAATGCATTATCGAGCTGAGAGGGAAGGCTTGACCATCATTTGTGGACCGTTGCAGAAATGACATTGCGTCCATAACTGTCACCACACGTCAAAAGTATTTAATGTCTGTAAGGCATGTTCAGACATTTGAGTACATGATAAATAAGGGGCAGATCCTCTGGCCCCCATCTTAAACTCACCTTCAGGCTTTCCAATCAGGTCTCTCTAGCATTCATCTTTCTACACCTTTCTACCTCATTGGCTGTAGTAGTGCTTTGGGACAGCCTGAGGATGTGACAGGTGCTATATAAATCCAGAAGGTCGTGGGTTCAGAACATGCGGCACAAACTCATTGTCATCACTCCAACGCAGTACTAATTGCGTGCAACAAGTGTTGGGAATACGGTCTTTCAAATGAGATACTGAACTGAGGCTCCGTCTCTCCTGTGAATGCAAGTTCTTTTTTCATCTTTTTCCCCCTCAAATGAGTGGAAAGGATATGCTTTCAGACAGCAATGATGGTGTAGTGGTAATAGCTGTGGGCTGGTAATTTTACAGACCCAGGCTAACACTTATGGGTTGAAACCCTGCCATAGCGACCGGTTGGAGTTTAAACTCAGTTACTAGGTGTGGAATTTAATACTAGCTTCAGTCATGGTGAAGAAGAAACTGCCATCAATGATTGTTCAATACCTATTTGTTTCACTCATCCCTTTAAGGAATAAAATCGACTGTCCCTGACCTGATCTGACCTACACGTTACTCCAGACCCATTGCAATGTGCTTGAACCTTCATTACCCTTTGAAGTGTCCCAGAAAATCCCTCAGTTGAAGGGCAATTAGGGATGGGCAACAAATGCTGACATCTCCATTGATACCCAATTCCCATGAAAGAATGAGGGAGAAAAAGTGAATGAGTTTTCGAAAGGAAGATTTGGACTCACAGTAAATATCCAGCTTGGCTGTACAGGATATGATACCGGCTTCGTTTTTAGCTGATACAGTGTACCACGCAGCATCCTCCTTTGTGGTTGGCTGAATGAGCAGGCAGATGTAACCCTTGTTATCATGATGCATGCTGGGAAATTAAAGGCAGATGCAGGTTACTCAAACAGAATGAAACTTTGGCAAGGGATCACTTGATGATTTTTACATTGAACTTAAAGCACAGAAAAAGCCCATTTGACAATGCCTGTGGGCAGGTTTCTAATCATTAGGGGAAAAGGCAGGAAAGTGGAATTGAGGATTATCAGATCAGCCATGATCTCATTCAATGGTGGAGCAGACCTGATGGGATGAATGGCCTACTTATGATCCTACCTCTTACGACCTGTTATTGTGTACCCACAAATCTTCCAATGGCCCCTCTTCAGCTGGCGCTAACAGCATTTTCTTTCAACCCTTTCTTCTGCGTGTGCTCATCAAACTTTCCCTTACGTGCGTCTATGTTTCAAATTAGGGACAGGAGAGGGGCAATTTGGCCCCTCAGGCATGGTCCAACATTCAATAGGATCATGTCTGATTTGATCACGCTACTGTCTCACCAACCCCTGCAGTCATTCACTCCCTCATTTAACAAGAAGTTATCTACCTCTGCCTTAAAAATATTCATGGAGTCTGCTTTCCTGCTTTTTTGGGAAGGAGAGTTCTAACGTTTCATCAGCAAAATATTATCCTTATTTCTGTCTTAATTTGACAGCCCTTTGTTTTACACCTTATGGTAGCAGTTTCCATATTCTTACCACTGTTTGGGTAAAGAAATTTATAACGAGCTCCTTTTACTGAGTTTATTATTGACTGTCTTATAATCGGTGGAAACTTCAGCAACAAATGCTGGCCAGCCAGTGATACACACGCCCCACGAGTGAATGAAAGAAAGTAACCTATCCAAAGCTCCACCCTAATCTTATCCAAGAGGTCAGCTCTCAGCCTATCAAAGGATGACAGGTCACAAATTTAATGTGATATGGAAAAGAATCTGTTCTGAGAAGGACCTGAAATGTTAACTCTGTTTTTTCCTTCACAGATGCTGCCAGACCTGCTGAGCTTTTCCAGCAACTTCTGTTTTTGTTCCTGATTTACAGCATCCGCACTTCGTTCGGTTTTTATTAGGAATGGTTAGTAAGGTTGCAGAGGATGTCAAAATTGGTGATGTAGTGGACAGTGGAAAGTACATGTTGAAAGTTATTATTGATAATGATAGCATGTGCATCAGTAGGTACAGAACAAAGTAGAAAAATGGGTTATTCAGAAAATGGCTCAGAGATAGTAAGAACTGCTGATGCTGGAGTCAGGGATAACACAGTGAGGAGCTGGAGGAACACAGCAGGCCAGGCAGCATCAGAGGAGCAGGAAAGGTGATGTTTCGGGTCCGGGCCCTTCTTCAGAAATGGCTTCGCAGTGGGGTTATAACTCAGAGAATGTAAGAACTGTTGATGCTGGAGTCTGGGATAACACAGTGTGGAGCTGGAGGAACACAGCAGGCCGGGCAGCATCAGAGGAGCAGGAAAGTTTCGGGCTGGGATCCTTCTTCAGAAAAGGCAGTGCTTACTATCTTTGAGAAAAATGGGTTATGTTTTAATAATAGCATGGTTATTATTCACACCCACATACTCATTTTGGTTTAAGAAAAGCCTTTGCTATCAGCGTTATCTTTCAATGGCTGCAACTTCAAAATTGAAGGGTTTGAATAATCTTGCACCTATTCTCTTCTCACATGATGACGGGCTGCTGTAGTCAAGGGTTACAGTTGAACAGCCAGTTGGAATTAGTGGAATTTGATTGTTTACAGAAGACACGAACCTAGCCATTCAATTTATCAGGTAATAGGCAGGGAACTTTTTTAAAGTTAAAACAAAACTGTCTTTTGTCAGTGCAAAAGAAGGAGCTGTTGTTCTCTAGAGGAAGGATTAATTGCTACTTAATGTGAGGAGCTGCAGATTCACCACAAATGATCTCAAGTCTTTGAATTGTCATCTCTGCAAGGACCAAAAAAAAAATGCAATGATCCATCGCCCAGAAAATAAATTACCTCCTGCGGATTATATTTTGATTCAGTTTTACAAATTAACCAAAAGGGTGTGTACTAGTTTAGGGCATTCTGGCTCCATGGTAGGGTGGTTAAGAAGCTGTTTAGCACGCTTGCCTTCATTGCTCAGACCACTCAGTATAGGAGTTGGGAAGTCATGTAGAGGTTGTAAAACACTTGTGAGGCCTCTTCTGGAGTACTGTGTGCTGTTCTGGTCGCTCTGTTGTAGGAAGGATGTTATTAAGCTGGAGTGGGTTCAGAAAAAATTCACAAAGATGTTGCTGGGAATGGAGGATTTGAGTTGTAAGGAGAGGCTGGATAGGCTGGGACTTTTTTTCCTGGACCGTAGGAGTTTGAGGGGTGACCTTTATAGAGGTTTATAAAATCATGAGGGTGGCATGGTGCGGCTCAGTGGTTGGCACTGCTGCCTCACAGCACCAGGGATCTGGGTTTGATTCCACCCTCGGGCGACTGTCTATGTGGAGTTTGCACATTCTCCCTGTGTCTGCGTGGGTTTCCTCTGGGTGCTCTGGTTTCCTCCCACAGTCCAAAGGTGTGAGGTGATTCATTTTGGAAGGACAAATCTGAAAGCAGAATACAGGGTTAACGGAAAGATTCTTGGCAGTGTGGAGGAGCAGAGGGATCTCGGAGTTCATGTCCACAGTTCCCTGAAAGCTGCCACCCAGGTGGGTAGAGTTGTTAAGAAGGCATATGGTGTGTTAGCTTTCATTAATAGAGGGATTGAGTTCAAGAGCCGTGAAGTTATGCTCCAGCTATACAAAACCCTGGTTCATCCACATCTGGAGTATTGTGTCCAGTTCTGGTCACCTCATTACAGGAAAGATGTGGAAGCGTTGGAAAAGGTGCAGAGGAGATTTACCAGGATGTTGCCTGGAATGGAGGGAAGGTCTTACGAGGAAAGGTTGAGAGAGCTAGGGCTTTTCTCTTTAGAACGACAAAGGATGAGAGGTGACTTGATAGAGGTGTACAAAATGATCAGAGGTATAAATAGAGTGGACAGCCAGAGACTTTTTCCTAGGGTGGAGGTAGCTATTACGAGGGGGCATAGTTTTAAAGTGAGCGGAGGTAGATATCGGGGAGACGTCAGAGGTAGGTTCTTTACTCAGAGAGTGGTAGGGGCGTGGAATGCATTGCCGGAGAGGGTAGTGGAGTCGGCCTCATTAGGGGCATTTAAGCGGCTATTAGATAGGCATATGGATGGTAGTATAAGGTAGGGATGGAGGTTAGATAGACCTTAGGTTTAGGGTAAAAGTTTGGCACAACTTCGTGGGCCGAAGGGCCTGTACTGTGCTGTACAGTTCTATGTTCTACGCGCAGGTCAGGTGGATTGGCCATGCTAAATTGCCCATAGTGTCCCGGGATGTGTAAGCTGGGTGCGTTAGCCGTTGGAAATACAGCGTTACAGTGAAAGGGAGGGAGACGGATACGGGTGGGATGTTTTTTGGAGGGTCAGTGTAGACTTGCTGGGCTGAACAGCCTGTTTCCACACTGTTAGGATTCTATGATGATGAGGGATATTGATAAAGTGAATAGCAGGTGTCTTTTCCCTAGTGTGGGGAATTTTAAGACTAGGGGGCGTATATTTAAAAAGGGAGGAAGAAAGATTTATAAAAGACGTGAGGGGCAGCTTTTTTACACAGACAGCAGTTCATGTGTGGGAACTGGAACCCTTCCAGAGGAAGCGGTGGGTGCAGGTACAGTTATAATGTTTAAAAGACATTTAGATATGTACATGAGCCAGCAGCAGGGAAGTGGGACTAGGTTAGTTTGGGATTATGAATGGCATAGACTGGTTGGACTGAAGGATCTGCTTCTGTGCTGTATGACTTTATGATTCGATGACTGGAGTAATAATCCAAAGGCCTGTACTATTGATGTGGAGACAAAGGAGTTCAAATCCTGCCATAGGATTTAATGTGAGGATATGAGTTAAAAGCAGGAGTAGGCCTTTCGGCCCTTCAAGCCCTCTCTGTCATTCAGATCAGCTTTGTTCCTATTGAATAGTGAAGCAGATTTGAGGGGCTGAATGGCCTGCTCTTGTTCCTGTTTTATATGGTCTCTGGTCTTAATGTGATCATAGCTGATCTGTTTGTGGCCTCAACTCCCCATTGCCGCCTACCCCCGTTAACTACTAGGATAACCAAGAACGATTTTATTTATTCATTTACAGAATTCACAGATACCATGCAGAAAGGTAGTGATGAGCCAAATTCCCGAATATGGTGGAGCACCTTGCTGGGGCCTTTTAGAGAGCTGGCACACAGCTGTTATGAGCATTTGGAACTGTCTTCCCCAGACAGCATGGAATCGACAGGCCAGGTGGACTGCCGCGGTTCAAGAAGGCAGCTCACCACCATCTTCTCAAGGGCAACTAGGGACGGGCAATATATGCTGTGCTTGCCATTTTAAGAGTGAATAAAAACTAAGTCACAAGCAGTTAATGTTACTACCTTCTGTTTATCACAAACATATCAATCAAATGACATGGGTTGGGTAAGCAATAGAAACGATATTGCTGGAGAAGCTCAGCAGATCAGGCAGCTTCTGTGGAGAGAAAGCAGATTTAACATTTCGGGTCCAGTGACCGGTTCTCAACCTGAAATGGTAACTCTGCTTTCTCTCCACAGATGCTGCCTGACCTGCTGAGTTTCTCCAGCAATTTCTGTTTTTGTTTCTGATTTCCAGCATCTGTAGTTCTTTCAGTTTTTCAGTTAAACAAAAACGTGGCTTCTTTACTTTGTAGATGAGATGCTCCAGTGGTAACTGGGAGGCTATATAGACCTGCGAAACTGCTGCTCTGTTCTGTCTACAGAGTCCATAGGATTATAAATTAAATCCTGTCTTGTGACGGATAGCGATGGACAACAGTTTAATGTGTAGTAAATACTTAGTGAAATCACAAATTCGCCTATTCACGCCAAAAAATAAGTAACAACAAGAGCCAACATTTTCGGGCTAAACTCTCATCTCCACAATTTTTAACGTATTTTTAATCAGCTCGCGAATTCCACCATGTGTGGGGGTTCTCAGAGAGGGAGCCGTCGTGGATACAGATGGAGGTATGTGCTATATAGTGGGATCAGTGTGGATCAGTCAGCACTGACTCAATGGGGCTAAGCGTCCTTTTCAATGCCACATGGGTCTATATACCTGCTTAAGGGTAGGTGAACATCAGAACACATCAACTCCCAGCCCTGTAGGAATCTCAAACTCACTCACCTGACTCTGTCTGTATTCTGGGTGAGGGACTCGTTGTCCTTTTTCCAGAAGATCTGCGGATACGGCACACCTGAGACGCGACACTCTAACCGTATTGGGTAACCCTCGGCCACACCCGTGTTCTGCAGCTTCTCGATGAACACTGGGGCTCTGAGCATCTCTTTAGCTGCGGGGAGAAAGCGCAGGAATATCAGCAGACCGGAGACAAGGGACTCCCGCATTGTTCTACAAAACTGAATTCCAAGTTGCCGCCCATTATTCCTGATCGCCCTCAGGAAAAACTCTCAGCCCAGTCGCTGGAGTTACAGATCCCTACAGTTAAGGCAGGACAGAAATGGTGAGAATTTCCTCCCGCGGCGGAAAGCCGTCAGGGTGGGAACGTCCTGAGGTGAACTATCGATGGTTGGATTAACCTGTGCTGTTGGCATCCTAAGCCAGCTGAGCTAGCCAATGCCAACGCGCTCTCAGCCAACACCTAAATAGAGGACGTGCTTCTCCCAGACCTATAATTATATATTTATACAGGGTCGATGGGCTGGCAATTTCAGCACCATCCCATCCTTGTTGGAGTGGATTTGGGGGCAAGGTATTGAGCTGGACATTGACCCTATTTCTCTTCCCACCTCTCCCCCACCCCCCAACCAACCAACATCCAAAACACACCCAGAAGGGGCACAAAGCGTCCAACCCATATGCCTGGATTGTCACCGTTGTTGGAATCTAGTCCTGATGTGGAAAACTATGGTCTGGTTGGGCACTGTTCCTCACAGCCTCTGACCTGGCCACATTTCAGATTGTCATACGGCAATGTCGGATACTGAGTCCAGTATTAGTCTGCATGTCTCTTGTGGCGCGGTGGCTCAGTGGTTAGCACTGCTGCCTCACAGCGCCAGGGACCCGGGTTTGATTCCAGCCTCGGGCGACTGTCTGTGTGGAGTTTACACTTTCTCCCTGCGTCTGCGTGGGTTTGCTCCGGTTTCCTCCCACAGTCCAGAGACAGAGACAGGGACAGGGATAGGGTAGGCCTGGAGATGGGATGATCTTTGGAGGGTTGGCGAAGACTCGATGGGCTGAATGGCCTGCTTCTACGCTGCAAGGATTCTGCAATGCTCAGTCATTCGGGGCAGTGGTGGGAAGGGTTGGGACGGAGAGAAGTAAATGTTCTACCTGCAATAATTAGCTCGAGACTGAAAGAGTTCTGTCCAGCTCGGTTTGTGGCGACACATGTATATATCCCAGCATCCCTAGCAGTAGCTGGCTCAATGACCAGGGAGTGAACGCCATTCTCACGTACGAGCATCTTGTGGCTGCCATCTGATCGGATCTGCTTCCCATTCAATTGCCAGATGAGGTCTGGGGTGGGCAGGCCACTGACCTGTAAGGAACACACCAGTGAGAAACCTTGATAGCGCAAAGCTCGGCAGATCTCGCCTCAGGCACCTTTGGCTTGGCCCGTTGAGACAACAGACTGATCTCACTGCCATACTGGTGCATTCCTCTGCAGTGAATGAGCACATTGCAAGCCAGTTGCCAGTCTGAACCTGACAGATAGAACTCACATCTCTTCAGTCAGAAGGTTTTCGAGTTGTGTTCCCGGACCAGAGGCTTGAACAACATGCACACAAATAAAAATTGAAGAGCTGGCTCTGCCAATTGCTTTACCAAGGGGTGCTGCACTGCCAGGGGCACCGTGATTTTGATGGGACACGAAAGTGAGGCCCTGTTTAGCCCTTGATAAAAGCAAAATACTGCGGTTGCTGGAAATCCTAAACCAACAGAGAATGCTGGAGAAACTCAGCAGGTGTTGAGTGATGAGAGAAACAGAGTAAATATTTCTAGTCTGTTATGACTGCTCTTCAGATCTGAAGATGTGAACACTTTCTGTCTCCACAAACGCGCCAGACCTGCTGAGTTTCTCTCGCACTTCCTGTTTTTATTTTATATTAGCCCCTTTGACCCTCTCTGGCGGGGAAAATGAAACGGTTCCTCTCAAAGAATCTTAAAGGCTCTATTTTTGTAACTGCCTTCAGCCAGAAATAGACATCCCAGTATTCATCCAACTCAATTCACTCCATTTAATACCAAGTAACAGCTAAAGGCATGGGATATTATAAATGTGGGAGGCCATGACGTAGTGGCATTAATCCAGGCTGATGCTCTGAGGACCTGAGTTCAAATCTCACTACGGCAGAGAGTCGAATCTGGATTCAGTTATAAAGAAAAACATCGGGAATTAAGAATCTAATGATGACCAAAGGTGGGGGTTAGGGAAGAGCCTATCTGGATCATTACAGCCCCTTTGGGAAGGATATCTGCTGACCCATACTGGTCTCTATGTGACTCCAGACCCACAGTGATGTGGTTGTCTCCCCTCTGGGTGACTAGGGATGCACAATGAATGCTGACCAGGTCAGTGAAATATGAATCCCATGAATGAAATTATTAAAAAAAGACAGGCAATAGTATTGAGGTACTAGTGATGTGACGTATAGATAGACAGCCAGAGACTTTTTCCTAGGGTGGAGGTAGCTACTACGAGGGGGCATAGTTTTAAAGTGAGTGGAGGTAGATATAGGGGAGACATCAGAGGTAGGTTCTTTACTCAGAGAGTGGTAGGGGCGTGGAATGCATTGCTGGAGAGGGTAGTAGAGTCGGCCTCATTAGGGGCAGTTAAGCGGCTATTAGATAGGCATATGGATGATAGTGTAAGGTAGCAGTGGAGGTTAGATAGACCTTAGGTTTAGGGTAAAAGTTCGGCACAACATCATGGGCCGAAGGGCCTGTACTGTGCTATACTGTTCTATGTTCTATGGTCTATGTACTGAACCCATGTGCTCCAGAACTCACTGTGTTTCTAGTCAAGCTACTCCTGTACCATCAACAGTGATGTGAAAAGTGTCACAGAGCAGGGTAAATCTAACCTGACCACATCAGTCTCCTCTCAAGCACCAACAAAGTGATGGATAGGGATCAGCAATAGTGCTATCACACAAAATGTAGATAGCCAACAGCTTTTCCCCATGGTAGGGGAGTCTAAAACTAGAGGTGAGAGGGAAGAGATATAAAAGGGTCCAGAGGTGCAATGATTTTCACACAGAGGGTGATGAGTGTCTGGAATGGGCTGCCAGAGGTAGTGGTGGAAGCGAGTACAATTTTGTCGTTGAAGGAACATTTGGACAGGTACATGGATGGCAGAGGTATGGAGGGTTATGGACCAAACTCAGGCAAATGGGACTAGTTTAAATTGTAAAAACCGGGTGGCATGGATAAGTTGGGCCGAACGGTCTGATTCCATGCTGTAAACCTCTATGACTCTAAACCAGGTAAGGATGGCATACTTCCTTCCCTACAGGGCGTTAGTGAACTGTCAATTTTTGCAACAAAAATCAATAACAGTTATAATGCACAGCATGAGTGAGACTAGATTTCAACTCCAGAATTAGCAATTGAATTGAAATTCCATCCACTACCGTGAATATGAACCTATGAGATTATCATACAGTTGTGAGATTTATTTATATTTATTTATATATTTGTCACAGGTACCAAGTATAGGAATACATAAGTACAGTGAAAAGTCCACAGAGTCGCCATTCACTGGTGCCCACCTGGTTACAAAATCCACAGCCAAAAGGTAAGCAAGATAAAGAAATGCCCAGATCTCAGAGTCCCAAGTCCCATCTCAAATGGTGCAGGCACAGCTCCAATCGCTAGGACACCCAGCAGGCTGTCACCACCATGTGATAGGCCCACTCTCACCACCATCACCGCCTCACGGCCCACTCTCACCGCCATCACCGCCTCACGGCCCACTCTCACCACCACCAACACCTCATGGCCCACTCTCACCGCCATCACCGCCTCACGGCCCACTCTCAACGCCATCACAGCCTCACGGCCCACTCTCACCACCATCACCGCCTCACGGCCCACTCTCACCGCCATCATCGCCTCACGGCCCACTCTCACCACCATCACAGCCCACTCTCACCGCCATCACAGCCCACTCTCACTGCCATCAGAGCCAACTCTCACCGCCATCACAGCCCACTCTCACCGCCATCACAGCCTCACGGCCCACTCTCACCGCCATCACAGCCTCACGGCCCACTCTCACCTCCATCACCGCCTCACGGCCCACTCTCACCGCCATCACCGCCTCACGGCCCACTCTCACCTCCATCACCACCTCACGGCCCACTCTCACCGCCACCACAGCCTCACGGCCCACTCTCACCTCCAGCACCGCCTCACGGCCCACTCTCACCACCACCACAGCCTCACGGCCCACTCTCACCGCCACCACAGCCTCACAGCCCACTCTCACCGCCATCACCGCCATCACAGCCCACTCTCACTGCCATCACAGCCCACTCTCACCACCATCACAGTCCACTCGCACCGCCATCAGAGCCCACTCTCACCGCCATCACAGCCCACTCTCACCGCCATCACCGCCTCACGGCCCACTCTCACCGCCATCACAGCCCACTCTCACCGCCATCATAGCCTCACGGCCCACTCTCACCTCCATCACCGCCTCACGGCCCACTCTCACCGCCACCACAGCCTCACGGCCCACTCTCACCTCCATCACCGCCTCACGGCCCACTCTCACCGCCATCACAGCCTCACGGCCCACTCTCACC